TAACTTAGGGAGTTAGGTTGATGCGTAAATTTTCCTCCGAAAATCCCACAACGTCTTTATTGCAACGTCAAATTGAATAAAACAATTGTTACTCATCGTTGGTCATCCTATTAGTAATGTGATTGTATACAATTACGTCGGTATAAATAAACCAGGTGTGAAAACACATTTTAGGGGACAGACGTACTGTACAGACAATGACTATTTATTGGATAACCACCTTTTTTTGAGGGGGTAATATCATCCAATGACTACTCCCGCCTTGGGATTGACCAGTCCCTCTCGCCAGTGTCAGACCCTTACCACCCCGTTTCTACTCCTGCTCTTCGAGGTGAGACCCGTGGGTCTGGTTCTGGTGGGGCGGCGAGGTACTCGCCATCCGCAGACTCGCACTTATGGTAGGTATTCCATAACCACCTACGGTGGAGAGCCACCAACCGTATGATTTGGCGCTACTATATAAGTATTTCAACTATCACAGATATGTTGAAATATCATCCCCTAAATTTGTTCATACAAAAGTAGTGTCTAAACATCGGAAATAAGGTCTATAATGTAGTTAGTAGAGAGCGGTCACCGGTAACCGCTTGGGCATTTAGGGTTTGTATATTCATTTATTATATCTATGGTATCTCCTATTTTGGTAACAATTTGCATCGTGTAATTGATATTAATCTAGAGGATACAGTCGATCTGTAATCGTTGTACTGAAAACATGTGCAATGTGTTTAAAATAACATCATATAATCGGTACCTATTTAATTGACGAGCACCCAAGTCTCCAAATAACTATCGTGAGACACACTAAATTAACTACGACGGTAGCCGAGTCGGTAGTCACGAAATGCTGCTTATAAGTATGGGCCCCTAGCTTGCATGAAACTAATCGAGTTACTTCGTCAATTCCTCTGCAACTAATCTTATTGAAATTTTACACAGAGAATAATTAGCTACTTAGTTTTAATAGGAAATTTATGATATAGCAAATATAAAATAATATTTTAAGACTTTGACTGCCAATAAAAGACTGTGGAAGGTAAATCCTCCGCTAACGCCGGTCACCGGTGACCCCCATGGCGTTGTAACGTGTTAATATATACTTGAAGTAGTAAAAATATAGTACATTATGGGTACGTAGAGTAGATCACGTCCCACCTAGATATCTCGACCTTATAGAAGGCGAACGGCTTTGCTAAATATATCGGACAATGCACAATATGGTATAGTACTTAGATATATTATATCGTTTGTGTTTAAATGCGGAACTAATGCTAGTTGTCATGTTCTTTATTCTTCGATATTAAATGTCGTTAGTCATTAACATCATCATCACATTACCTATGAGGTAATACTAGGAATATAACCGTAACTATTACCCTTAAGCTATCTACTGAGTCGCGGAGAACCTAACGGGTAACCGGGGCTCCGGCTCGACGTGCAGGAGAAGGAACGGGGTGGATTTTAGTCAGTAAGAGTCTGACACTCCCTCCCGCCTCACCCAGGCAGGAGCAATCATTCGATGATTTTCCCCCTTAAAAAAAAGCTATCTACTGAGAGATATGAAGGTCACATGAATCTATACCTATTATAAATTGCGTGATTTGGCCGTCGAATTGAACTAGAAATCTTAATACAACCATACCCTTTGGTTGACTGTACGGTCGACGTGCAATGTGTACCGGGTTCGTTTCCCGCACGGAGCAACTCTGCGTGATCCACAATTTTTTTATGGTCTGGGTGCCATGTTTGTGTGAAATTGTATGTTTCTAAACACACCCACGACACGGGAGAAAATCCTAGTGTGGGGCAATGATTTGTTTAATAATTATTATTACTAATGAAATGGATAATTTCATAAGTAATAATAATTATTATTATTCTTCTAATAAATAACATCACTGGCGACGGTCCCCTTCTTGCATAGGTCTAATAACACCACTGGCGACGGTTTGGCGAAAAATGGGAATTGCATTTCAAAAGAACAATATTTAACTCTTCAGGACTTTAAGAAGTTTCCAAAGATCGCAAATATAATCAACTATAGGTACAGCTACACGTGTGTAATTTGACATTCATGAAACTGGCACGTGAGTTGTAAATACACGGGTACATGTGTCCTGCGGTATACTATTACAGTGGTAAGCGAACATTAATGTCAATTATAGAGTTTCATGACCTTTGGCAACTGCGCTGACCGCAGTCGCATCACGTTTGGAATAAATTAATATAGAAGACACTTAAAAACCATCAAATATACTGTTTTGGGTTGTGGAAGGCAGATCGCTTCACGTAAAATGTGACAATCGGTCAATCTCATCCAAACTCTCGGCCGAACCTCTAACCCCGAAAGTTATTAAGATGCCAGGAGACAAGAAAACAAATGATCCTGTATGGACAATCGTAGTACCGATATTACCAACTGAAACGCATGCACTGCTGAACGAGGGCTTCCCTCACAGGCTGGACTGGGGATTATGGACAACAGCCTTAGTAATCTATCCATGCTTGACAACGAGGATAGGAGATTGGAGGATCACAACAGTTAGACTTAGACCACCGCATTAGAAATTTTAGATGCCGCTATCTGTGGTTCTGGTTGCTCGTAGTTTTGGAATAAGTATACCCGGGAACATAAAAAAACAATGGTTTATTTTCCTGAAGATTTTACAGAATTTGAGTTATTACTGCGAATTTCTCATAGAAAGAACTGAATATTGTATTACCTAGCTTTTGACCGCCGAGTAAGGGATATTGGATATTGGGTTTCATATTTGAGTCCGCATTATGAAGAGTGTGGGATTCTTAGGTGAGGTAATAGTCGCGTCCTTTATTAAGTAGGCTTCATAATGTAAGTGGCGAAACGTGTGTTACATATAATAAGAAAACCTCGGTCTCCCTATTCAGGGAATAAATGCCGTGACTGTACGTTATTTAAGTACTCATAAACAGAAAGCAACAAGTAGGTAACAAAGTACGATTCAATAACAATGACAATTTAGAAAATATTTTTCCTGACTAAAAGAAAAAATCAAACAAAGGGGACAGTTATTTAACAAAATTTTGGTATTTAGATACTACCCTTTCCTTGCATTTCAACATAATTATCGGACTAAGGAGAAACAAAAGTAACACTAGTCAAAGAACTGTCTTGAAAATTGGTCTTTTGATACAAAAATATTTTAATTGATATTTAAGTAGATTGGTATGTAGAGGTATGTATTTTCGTACTTTGCGGCCCGAAAGAAAATTTTATTTACTTAGGTTGGAGGTCCTAGTAATAAACAATTTCGAATCAAAATATTTGGAAAGGTACTTACATACTTAAGCTTTTATCGTAGCTCCTACCTGCCCAAAGTCTAGGGAAAAAAATTGGTTAAAATCTGAAAAGTTTTATTGGGTCGTTGTCGGATCAAATTCTTTAAGGCTTTTAGGTACCTATTACGCAGTAGGAAAAATAAGGTGCTACTTTGTAATGTGTACTTAACAAATAAGCAAAAATGTTTTATATTTCAACTAGCTTAGAACTGATAGTTTCTATTTATTTACGACGTTTTGTAAATTAGAACTGTTAATGTTAGGAAAACTTTTTTGTTTGCAGTTTCAATTTTATAAATGGTGCGATGTGTTACAAAGATCAATTGCTGGGATACGTATTTCCAAGTTAAGTAGGTAGGTAATAAATATGACGTGAAACTTTCAAGTCTGTACCATCAATTATTATAATTTAACATTGCACAAAAATGTACGATAACAATTAGGAAATCCCTAATGAATATTAAGTAATTACTATAATTAAAACACTTACCTCAGTGGATGATATCAAAACTGTTTAGTCCAATTAGAATTAACACAAAACAACAGTGCACATATTCTTTAAAAAAAAAGAAAAGAGCGGGAAATAATATTAAAGTTCGGCGCACTTCCAAGTTCAAGCCGACATGATGCACAAAACCACTTTTTTCTTTCAAGTTTTTATAGTTTATACACTCGATACCACTGAAGTATTGCGCGTGTAACCACAAGGATTGAATAAACGACAGTGCGTAAACAATATCGTGTTATGAATGCGGTTCTGGCGCGAACGTCCGAGGTTATTATCAAAGGCTATTGAACGGAGACAGTAATGTCAAATGTTGATGTTAACGCCATCTCTGAATTGTTTCACGAAGTATCTTGTTTATTCAAGCAACGTTTAACTATAAAGTCAAGTCAAATGCGTTGCTGAAATTATTAAAATGTTTGCTTGCTCAAACGATAATAATTATAGTGTCCACTGTCCAGTTATAGAAAACAACGTTCATTCACACGAGAGCAATGTCTCTCTGACGTGTTTCGTGTAAATTTTAAATTAGTGTAGTACCTAATGGCGTCACGTAATCTGCTCATAAACAAATAACCACAGAACTCGTAAATAAGATGAATATTAATATGAATGCGAAAATAAAACAAAACTAAACAATTGTTCATGAATCTACCTGTAATTTGCCTCTAACAATATTATTATTCCTCAAAGATATATAGAGGTTTCTACACTATAAGACAATGTAGATATCATCAACAAACAATCACCAACCTGCCTGCCTCGGAGATTTTGATGAATTCTTTTATTCAAACAAGGTATAATCTGGCAATGAATAAGTCAAGAGAGTTAATATTGATGTATAATAAATCAAATCGTAAAATAGAGGACAAAGTACAGCCTGGCAAAAAAGAGCATGGAATATTGGAATATGGAATGCGTGTGAGTGAGTGGGGCAATGTTTAAAAAAAATATATTTTTGTATTTATATGAGGTCGCTAGTATTGTACCAGTGATAGCCTGGTACACTACAACTCAACCGGTTTCGGTACCTACCTCATATATGTCATCAAGTTCAAACGAGGAGGTACTATGTTCGGATGATTATCATGGGATATGGGTGGTGATCCAGTTCAAGACATTAGTTCCAAATGTGTCAAAATCTTTTAAGCCAAGCTGCACAAACAATAAAAAACAATCATGAAAATCTTATCATTTATTTATTTCAGTACATTTCAATACACCACCATACAAAACAGATGCATTAAAATACTGGTAGCTTAAGATTAAAGTTTTTGGAGAACACTGGAATTTACACCAAAGGCATTCTGTTTAAGGTTGATTACTTGCCGGCAGCGGTGGCTAATGGGTTTCTTAATACTAGGATCACTGAGTCTCCGCGAAGGAACATCTTTGAGATAAATCTATCCTTGTTGACTGCTTTACCCTGGAAAAAAAATAAGAGTATTACAAATATGAACTCTTTAGCCCCGGTGATAGAATATTATGTCCATCAATTTAATGGGACTCATAACATAAATAGCGGAAAGTGGATGTTACATTGTACAGAGGCATTAACTGGCCAAATGTGCACCTCTACCTACCCCTTCAGGTACAAAAGGCATGATCTTATAAAACCAATTATGTAGTCTTAAATAATAATATAAGTAACTCGACTTCTTGTTCAAAATAGGTTTAGACACCTTAGTGTCTGACAAAAATGTAATCTTGTATCGAGCTAAGGCTCGATACAAGATTACACTCTGACCATCCCACTCTGATTCGCCGGTTGAAACACTAATTGATCTAAGCGAAATTTTTTGTGATATTGTTAAGTATCTGCATCTCGGCGAAGGAAAATTTGCTAATTTCGAACATGTATTTAACTTAATATTGCAAAAAAAATTTTGTTTAGATCAATTAGTGTTTCAACCGGCGAATCAGAGAGGGATGGTCAGAGTGTTGCTTGATCCACTCAACCCTGTGTTTATTATACTATATGATCAACAAGTAGACAAAACTACTTGCCAATAAATTGTTTATAACTTACAAACTAACATTTGTAAGTAACAAATACTTTTCACTCATTGTTTTGTAATATAATATGTAAAACTAAACAAACTTTACTGTCTATGCTACACATATATTTCTAGTAAAACCTAAACTTATTTCAGACTTATTACTTCCAGTAGTATTCACATAGATAACCTCCAAATCTTTAGATAAAACAATTTATTAGAATTCGATGGTGAGTAAAGCCTGTATATAGCAGTTAATACATAGGATTATTTACCTTCTTGCCTTTGCCCAGCCTTGGTACTTCAGTCCACATTTCCTTGACGTTTTCAAGTACCATGTTGCAATGCCGGTCGAAAGCCTTGACGCGTCCAAGCAACTTTTTGTTATTACGGCAGTTGATAAGAACTTGTGTGTTATTCTTTACAGATTGTGTGAGTACTGAAAGAGGCCCTGTACTGAATTCTTCTTCTTCAATCTTCGCTAATTCTTCTAAAGTCATCTCTGAGCGTGGTTTAGATGTTGTCGCCCTAAAACAGTCGTTATACGTAAATAAGCGGCTGGTAAGAGATAAATTAAGTGCTCTATGGTTGTTGAATGTTATACTTACATCTTTGAACGTTATTTATTACTTGATTTCAAGAAATTTCAAGAAAACAGCGCTGAAATTGCAAACAATTACAATTCACACACAAATTGACAATTTGACAAAACACGCTTGTCAACTTTTTCTATTATTTGTCAAGATGATTTGAGTAGAGGGCTTTTGAGGTCAGTGGACGTATTATCAGTTTGAAAAAGTTTGATAAAAACCTCCATACAAAATGCATTGACTATTAGTTTCATAAGAAAATCGGATCAATAAATAAAAAATGATTTGTGTACATGACTGCATGGTTGGTGCGGTGGCAGAGGAACCGTGTGGCACAACGTGTAGCGGGTTCCGCGGGTTCGATTCCGCCGCAGGGAGCAACTCTTTGTGTGATCGTGTGTGGGTGTGTGAATTAATATGTTTGTAAAAGCACAGGAGAAAATTGTAGGCAAAGTTTTTTTTTATAACTGTTTTATCAAACATTAGGAATATTTCGTTGATCCAGCGAATAAAAGAGCAAATCCTTATCCTTACTAATATATAAATCGGAAAGTGAGTTTGTTTGTTTGTTCTGCTTTCACGCCGTAACTACTAAACCTAAGGTAAGATTGCTTTGATTTTTTGTAGATGTAAAGTTAGAAGTCCAGATTAAATAATAGGGTACTTTTTATCGCGAAAAAAATTGATATTTCCGAGGGAAATAAAAGTATTGGTATAGATGGCGCTGCGTGTATTGGTATATGTCACATAGGCTACTTTTTATCCTTTTGTGACGCGAGCGAAGCCGCGGGTAAAAACTAGTATTGAATAATCGATGGCAGATTTGATTGTCAAGCCGGGCTTATTGAGATTTTTTGATATTACAAAACTCATAGTAGGTAATAACATGATTCCTGGAATTCTGTCGATTGTATTGTTATTGTCGCATTCCTTTGCATGAGCCCTTCTGGACGTAAAAAAATCCGTGGCAAGCGGGATTAACATCTTGATTTTTTTTCATGGACCCAAAGAAAACCGAAGTAATGTCTTTATAATATCCTCAGAAGATAAACATTTCCATAATTGAAGTTACTCATTTAAACTAAAGCAAAATAAAACAATAAAAATTCGTGAAATATTTTATTTATCTTTTTTTCTGTAATAATAAGAAAAATGAAGTATTCAACTAGCTTTTAGTAACTAATTTCGATATAATAATTCAATATACTTATAATTCACAGTCTTGGAATAAAAATAAAGGCTAAATTTTAATAATAGACATTGCCATTTTCATTCAACATTTTTTTCACTTGCAACACATTACGTAAAGTTTTTTTTTGAGGAACAAGCAAAGAATACAGGCTGCGTACCGGGACCACCCATACATAAATTTCTTTGGTTATATTTACAAATATTTATGTACTTCACATACAAAACTTAAATTATCACAACTACAATAAAATAGCTACACACTTGCAATGTAAAAAGAAAAAGAAATACACAAAGTTCTTTGAAAAAATAATTTTTTACAAAATAATACATAAAAACCAGTACGCAAATAACATAGTTGCAATTTTAAATGCAAGTCTTTTGTAATGAAACAGATGGTAGTCTCAAGAAGTCATTCTTAAAATGCCAACATTTTTCCAAGTGATTTTCAACCTCATTGCTTTTTTATTAAAATCGATAAATATTGACACTTTATGAAATCTTGTTGGGCCGTCATCTGTACATACTTCTAAAGGTTCCCTAGAAAAAAATAAATACAATTCTTCTGTCATTTTGATCCTACATCCTCTTATTTCAATTAAGTCATTCAATAAGTCGGAAAATCAACCATACAGTAAAAACTATTACAATCAGTATTTTTGAACCATAACAAAATACACTGTTCAATATTTCTGTTTCGTTGTGTTAAAAATGGACAGGAGTTTCCAGTATTTAACGGAACTAATACTTGAATTTAATCATTTCGAAAAATATCTTTGATTCACTAATCCCAGAGTAGGCAATGAATGGAGTTCTTGGAATAGTTTTTCTACACAATATTCTCAATGACACAAGGCTCATAATCTGAATACCTGTGCCAATTTGTTGTTTATGAAAAAATCTACAAGCTGCCTCATTGGTCAATTATTATTGAGTTGCCAATCAAGATTATTTATTTGCAGGACAAATTACTTTATTATACTTTTGTGAACTCGGATCCATTACCAACTCCGTGATTTACAATTATTCATTAATGCATAAAATGCCAACAAAACTATTGCTTAAATATTTATATATATGTATTTATAACAATAATAGACATTATAAATGAGGTTTACTTCGCGATATCCAGCACCATATATTTTGTACCAAGCTGTGGCAGTGTTTACGACTATGGACGAATATTATGCATCTATTTATAGTTATTGCATTATTCCGATTAAAGCATATTGTTTATTAGGTCGTGTGCAGTTTGTATATTTTTTTGTCAAAGGATTAGTTTTACATAGTAAATAGCTACATTACCCGAAAAAAATTATGTATGATTTATTTTTGTTATACACAGTCAAGCAAAGTCCGCAAACCAAATTTTAGCTCTCTACCTAGAAAATTGCGGATTACTCAATATAAACTTTATTCCCTATATCAGGGAAGTAAGTATAAGAAACTAATAAAATTAAGACACTATATACCTTTATGGCTCACTAGCGCCAAACGATGAGCGAAACCTATTGGAGCTTAAATTTAGAATACAAAACAAAATTAAAAACTTTTTTTCAATTAATCAGTGCATATAATTTTTTTTTTGTAGTCATTACTATCTTTTCAATTATAAATGATATAAAATCAGTTAATCCTTTGCAACTGCACACGACCAATCACAAATACATCGAAACCATTTTGTTTTTAACATTACAAAAATATGTTCATATTATATTTGTTATCTGTAAGCATGTATGTTCTGTAGCACCATTGACATTAAAGTGGATGATAACGGATTTGTATAAATTATTTTTTTATTTATTGTATCTGTAAAGCATTAACACTCAATCTAACTAGACTTGCCTTTACATGTAGCCGTCTAAATAGATGCGAGTGACAGGTTTCTGGAAGTGTAATTATTACATATTTATTCATATAATAAAGATTTTTTATGGGATAAGCCGTTAAACGAGCAGACGGATCACCTGATGGTAAGCAATCTGCGTCGCTCATGGACACCTGGAACACCAAAGGCGTTACAAGTGCGTTACCAGCCTTTTGGGATTATGAATTTGAGGATTGTTGGGGATTCAGGGATTGGAGAAGGGGGGTAATTGGGCCTCAGGTAACCTCACTCACACGACGAAACATAATGCCAGCTTTGTTTCACGTCGGTCTTCTGTGAAGCCGTGGTATCAGTACGGTCGAGCCAGCCCATTCGTGCCGAAGCATGGCTCTTCTACACTTAATATAAATATTCGAGAAGGACGCTCAACTACTTTCAAGCCAAGACGGGGTCCGTAATTATTTGTATTTTCAACTATTTTCTATTTAGACGGCAACATAAAAACATAGTAAAGGCACTAATTCTCTATAAATCTCAAACACATATAGTCTTTATAAAAATACGAATTAAGCATTATGTACCATATAAGACACTTTTCATTTATAATTACTAACTTTAAGGAAAATATCTAGCCTAGTAATATTTACAGAGATCTCTTAGTTATTAATTAATCGTTTGGAGTTTTAACACAATAATGACAGTTGGAACTGTAACAACAATAATAATTTTCAGTGAGCATGTTTACTTTTTATTGCCAAAACATTTCTGAGGTGATGTTCGCAAAACTTACCGATTTGTTATTATTGCTATCAAATTCAGGACTCAAACACGACAGTGGTGCCATCTGACCAATAAAAAATAATAGTATGTCGTTGAAGATTGTTACAAAAAACTAAATGATAATAATATCTTGCCGATACGGTTCCAAAGTTCCCTATTGTGTTGTAAACCAACGATTATATATGTTTGTAAGTAAAATACATACAAATACTTTGAAATATACTCTACATATTATATGTACAGATATTTCTAACCGTCAAAAATTGCGTTTCATTATTATAAAATATGAACACGTTAGTTTTATGCTTATGTTCGTAAGCTGCATAAGTATTAAAATATAATCTCTTTCTTTCGTTCGTTCTCGTTCTTTTCTAAACCCAAGTTTCTTGTCACATTTTGAACATTTCTTGCGCAATTTGTTTCCATATTCCTAAATATAAGTTGTAATTGAATATGGCTCAGAACTTAAGTGTAAAAAGAATTCAATTGTTGACTTTTCTTTGTAATTACTTTTCAGGCATATTTAATCACAACTTCAAGCATCCAAAACTAACAAACCATTTACCAAATACCAAAATTCAATTCAATATCCTCTCAATACGATTTCGCTAATCACATAAAATGCTTCGTAAAAATCAGATCCTTACATACTCTGTTCCAACATGTCTCGCGCTAATGGCCATAAATATATTTACAGACTAGATAACTCAATTAAATTACTCGCCATTTGTAAATTATTTTTTTGCTACGGCAACCTCTTTGCCCAACGACTTTCTATTTTCGAATTTCTGCTGTAAACTGGCAACATTCGATGGTTTGGCAGTTAATTTTGTTTGATTGGGTTTATTATCTGTCCTTTGGACGGCTGTGGTTGGTTTGGGGACTACTTTAGGTTTATTTTTGTTTAAATTGTCTGCTATAGCTTTGACAGAGTCTACTTTAGAAATGGCACGGTTGGTGGACGGTGTTTTATTATCTGTTTTGTTTAAATTAGAGTTAGAGTTTACTGGTTTAAGTGGTGGCGTGACTTTGTTCGCTTTTTTCGGTTCTGCGGGCGCCGGTCTTAAAGGCGGCCGGTTGTCATTCGGCTTCGCAGTAACCGCCGGTTTGTTCGTCACTTTAGTCGTATCGTTTGGTAGTTTATTGTTATTTATAACGTCTGGAGGTTTCACGTTCTTCGTGTCTGGTACTGTACAGCTCGAAACCAGATCCGGACTGTTCGATAGTTTTGGATTTAAGTTTATATTTTTAGTTACTTTTGGTGATTGAGGCACGTTTCTGAAGGTGGACGTATTTTTGAGGGCCGGTGGTGTCACCTGTCTTGAGAAAGTTGGGATTTTAGAGTTCGGCCCTGGTAGAGGTGGGGCCTTATCTTCTTCTTTTGGTTCGTCTTTCTTTAAGTAAGTAGGTACGTTGACAGCAGAAGGATGTAAGTACCCACTACTGGTCGTCGACACATTAGATTTGGCTCCAGAATTGCTATAAACACTCTCAGGTGTTTTATAATGCTCTGAATTCATATACGTACTATCTCTATTTGCTTCTTTATTCGCTGCTTCTTTAGCCTTCCTTTCCTTCTCTTTCTTTCTAGAAAGAGTTGACGCAGAGTATATAGATTCAAAGTTACGATTTTGTATTTCGTTAACTATCTCTCCGAGTAAGCCCATGCTTTCTGTGCTTCCAGAATTGGACGGGATCACTTTGGGAGTATTGTAGCCTTCGGGAGGAGCTTGAGGAATGGTTTTTATTGGTGGAGGGACTCCTGGAAGAGGCTTCGAGTGTTTCTCTGGACTCTCCTCAATAACTGCGTAGATATTGTCAGGTGATTCTTCTACTATATGGGCTAAGGGTGCCTGTTTTTCTTCAATACAGTCAACATAGTCGGTTGACTTAATTTCTGGCTGCGGTTTTGGATTCGGTGGCGGTACGGGCTCAGAATTATTTGGTAATGGAGGAGGTGGCGCTGTCGGTCTTCCAACTACAGACAAAGGCCTTGGAGCGGCTGGTGCCTGTCTCATAGAACCAAAGCTTTGTAGAACTGGTTTCTGACTTGCTGGAGCCCTCATACTCTGTGCACGATTGACAAAGGCTTTGGGATCATCCCCATCTTCAGAATCAGATACGACTGGGACTGATTTCACTGGAAGTTCAATCTCTTTTTGCAGTATAGGGTTGGATATCTGCAAGTTTCTTAATGGAACTTTATCAGCCTTAGGAACTTTGACTTGATTGTTATGATTCTTTGGCAAAGAGTGACTTCTTTCAACCGGATTGCGTTCTTTCTCCTTAGGCTTGTCTTGTTTTAGGAATGACGCTATGCGGTTCAAGGAAATACCTTCTTTGACTTTCTTCGGTTCCTCGGGAAGGGGTTTTTGTGGTACTCCAGCTGAATGCATGCTTAGAGGTCTTTTCGGAAAGTCTGGGGACATAGGAACTGTTGGTGCTGCTCTTACAGGTCCTAAGGTCTTTGACCCTTGTAGAGGAGATATAAGTTCTTTAGCAGTGCAAGTAGAAGCTTCTAAAATGGGACTGGATATCACAGGTCTTGGTGGAGGATTGGCAGTAGTTGGAACCTCTTCAGTCTTATCATTATTCATTAAAGCCTTGATCTTATTCTGAACTGTACTGTTAGTGCGTTTCACTGAAGGACTGCTCTTCGGGCTGGTTTTAGCGGTTGTTGGAACCACTGGGAGCGGGGGAGCACTTCGCAAAACCGGTTTCAAAACCCCTTGGTTCACAATACTTTGACTATTACTGCCGCTTCGATGTACAGGGGTAATTTTGGCACTTTTGTTTATAGAATCAGCTACACTTTTAACTGGTTTGGGAGCTATGGGGACCTCGGTTTCATCTTTTTCCGTGGGAGCATTTTTTTCTATAGGAGTAAGAGAAAAACCTTTGAAATTGCCAAAGAAGTTGACAGAAGGGTTAATATTTCCTGGTGGACTTCTGTCCGAGTCACTTCTGAGTAAACTGGAGCTCATATCATCAGGGTTGGATAGAGTATGTACGTTGACGGGTTGGGAACTATTTTGATTACTATTTTGGAAGTTGGCAGCGAATTTGCTGGCACTGCGCGAGAGCCGATGTTGCAGGCTTGCTTTCTTCGGTGATGGGGCCCTGTGGACGTGAGAAAGTGGTTAGGAAATTGTTTTAAAGTTGTACCTTTTAGTTTTTCATGTCATGCTAATCATGCAAGAATTCACATGCAAGTTTAAGAGATTCAAGTAATTTAAGTGTAAATTAACCCTTTTTAAGAATCATATGCATCGAATTTAATTAAAATACTTTTTATTTAGGGCGATTTCAAAGTAAGTTTACTGTCTTCCTGTATTTAATGAGTTCAATAGACGTTGCTAACTATAAGTTGATAAATCGTACCAAACATTTCCAAAATTTGTTCATACAAAAGTAGTCTCTAAACATCGGAAATAAGGTCTATGATGGAATAAGTGGAGAGCGGTCACCAGTGTCTGCTTGGGGATTGAACAGTTAACAAGAAAAATAATTACAATGTAAGCCAGTAGGTACTACTCAAAAAAAAAAATAAACTGCAAATTCATAATCCCATATCAAAAACTCGCCCTGATATTAAAATTAAGCTAAGATTCAGACGCCAACATATATGATGCTAGCGTTTCCCAAATCTGTCTTCGTTATATTACTACTTCTATTATAAAAGCAATAACGTATTCAACGTTCTACAAATGTAAATCGTATCTTTAATTGGATTGTTGTCATCAAAAAAAAAAGAAACAATCAGCCGAGCATAGCATCTCCTCCTTTTTTTGAAGTCAGTGAATATGCAAGCGTCCTTAGTTGTAGATTCAGAGAATGCTGAGCCTTTACTACGAGTTTATTTTTCGTTTAAAGTAATCGAAACGCGACGGCGTTCTCTGCTCTGATTGGTTGGTTCATTAGAGCCGGCCAATCAGAGCGCCGAACGCGTACTTGTTTCGAATACTTTAAACGTAAATCAAACTCGTACTAACGCCTCTGATGCAACATGCGATTAACGCCTTCACCTTTACACAAATACTGAAATGTTACCCAAATTTAAGTTTGACATAAATATATTAATTAATGTCCAACATAATTAATAAATTGCACTTGGATTTTTATAAAGTACTATTATTATTCGACATAATTGAGTAGCATTCGAATATTTAGAAAAAAATCATGCAAAACTATACTATACTTATGCTATACCGCCATGCAATGTTAGTATAAGCAAAACGAACACAAGACACTCACCATAATGCAGACACACCCAAAGATTGCCAGAACAACGTAAGTAGTAACGCTTTTATCCAAATAGCATTCTTATTACATGATGAACAAGAGCAATTTTTCTGTAGCAAGTGTTACCACAACGCTGTCGACTGTTAGTATTGCCAGGTTTAAAAATATTATTATTAAGGGTTGCTAGTTAAAATTTTAGATTTTGAAATATCTTTATAGGTGAGTGTTTTATAGTTTATTTTTAATCCTGGCTATACTTAATGAAATGAGAGAAAGAGAAAAAGAATCAAACAAGCAACTAATAGAAAGAAATAAAAGAGTATTTAATTAATCAGTGCATTATTCTAACTACAGTTAAATATATCTAATTACTAACAGTCAGTTTCAATTATCTATTTATCTGTATATTTGGTTACTAGACATAAAATCGATTCTCATTAAGCTATTTTTTTTATTTTTATGGTATAGCTGGTAAACGACCAGATGGATCCCCTGATGGTAAGCAATCGGCGTGCCCCATAGACACTCGAAACACCAGGGGCGTTACAAGTGCGTTACCGGCCTTTAGGGTATTGGGAATTTGAGGATTGTGGGGTTTCGGGGATTGGGGAGACCGGGGAGGGGGGCAATTGGAAGCTGTTAAAGTTAAGGAGTTTATTTATTTAGTTGAACGCGCTAATCTCCGAAGCGACTAATTGACTAATTCGAATCCAGCAATTCTTTTTTGTGTTTGATAATCAATTAACATTCCGCTACAACTAATAGAAGTCGAATAGCGAGCAAAAGTGCGCAGGAGTGGTTATTTCGATTTAAGATTAATTCTACTACAGATACATAGATTATTTGAAACTGGCAGTTATTATATTAAAGTACTAAAGAAAATTAAGAAATAATGAGTTAAATTTATTTACAGGACATTAAAAAAAAATGGGAGTATTATGGCAATAAAACACCTTCGGGCCTCCGGCATGATCAATTTATTCATCTATCCGCTGAGGCCTTCTTGGTATAAAAGCGTAATATTACATATTTTTTTGTAAAAAAGAATCATGATTGTAATTTGTGAGCAATTTAAAGTTAAATCTTATATTAGTAAATATTAATTTTATTTAAGTAATTTCGATTGGCCAATAATATCACAGTTTATAAGATAAATAATAAAACAGGGTGGATAACTACAAATTGTTATCCTTATGTTCTATAGATAAAAAAGTCTCCTTATCATCAACAGCCTATAAATGCCCACTGCTGAGCAAAGCCTCTTCTCACACGGAGAAGGTTTGAGCATTATCACCACGCTTGCTCAATGCGGGTTTCCTCACGATGTTTTCCTTCACCGTTTGTCTGTGGTGTCTAAATAATCTATTCGATTCCTTACACATTGTATACAGTGTGTAATACGTGACATGATTTTGGTATGTCATCACCTTGCGTGCATTGTCTTCGTCAAAATTATATCATAGACATGCAATTACAGTATCGAAAAACTGATCCGTAATATTAATATACTGTATAAGAATTTTTTGAAAACAATGCAATAAATAAGGCATGATTTTATCCACCCTGTTTTTTTCATGGTTATTAACCCATTAATGATATGAATTCTACCATGCATCTAATACAAGGGAAGTTCAAAATGTAACTTCATAGAATTTTTATAACTTATCTAAAATAGAACATACAAAATAACACTCTATGATGTGCAAATAAGATCTAAAATAAATCGTTTTAGCCTCTGTCAATAGGAACCGTTTTTCCTTTGAACAATTACAATTTCATTTATTATTTTGACGAAATAATTTACTTTTTCTTTGTGAAAAAATCATAATGCAATTTAACCATTTTTATGATAAGTAATTATTACTTCTGATATTTATTTGTGAAACATCTTTTGTATAGACATATTTTTATTTAATACTAATTGTCTACAGTCTGTATCAATTTGATCAAAAGCTGAGTCATATTTTATGAATAAGTTAGTTAAATATTAACAATGTTATTTAACCAAAATAATGAATGAATTTGTTATTGTTTGAGAGTATTTTAATTTAAGTAGGTTTAAGTTGAGTATCATGCTCATTGGAATTAAAAGATACAAGATGTTTATATATTGTATAGGCACAGAAAATGTTTCGACAAGAAAGAGATAGAGCTAAGAGACGAAATATTTAAAAAGAAACAACAATAGATAACTTAATCGCTTCATATCTTTCTATAAAACATTTTTCTGTGCCTATGGACCGAAATCAATAACTGATCTAATCCAAGATCAATCTGTTTCTGAAGGAAACTCCATACAACTAATCTTCTACATTTATTTTAGAAATAAAAGAAAGTCGTGTTAGTTACACTATTTATAACTCAAGAACGGATAAATCGATTTGGATAGAAATTGGTGGGGAGGTAGCTTAGAACCAGGAGACGGACACTTTTTATCCAATACATTTCTCTACGAAAAAAAGGGAAAAGGGATTGCATGTACGAAGTCGCGGGCAGTAGCTAATGTCAAATATTTACAGATTTTTGAAGGATGTCGATTTTAGAGATTAGTTCTTTTTAGTATCTGTCAAAAACAGAGATCGACCGAGAGATTTTTGGATTAAAATCGTTATTAATCCGGTCTCATGTAAATTTTTGGTTACTTCTTCCCTTTGTGCAAAGTTTTAACATTAACATACAAATCAGTATCAGTACTGTTATCGTGCAATCTACCAACAGGATGCATTCTATGTTGACTATTCACTACCATCTCATTAGTCGTCGAAGCTAAACCTTGGTTTATTATAACGACGTTAGGTTTATTATCGTTTGCGCAGACATTGGGCTTCGGAGCCACAATTGGCTTAATATGTGTTTTAATATCACTGTTGCTAGCAATTTTAATATCGTCTTTATTAATTTTTTTCACCGGTTTTTTCAAAGGAACTTTAGTCAGAACTTTTTCTGGTATAACCGGTAACTTTTGGGTAGTTTTGAGTTCTTCTAAATTGGAATAAATTGGTGTTTCTTGTTGAGGGGGATCCGTATATATATTTGAGACCGAATGAACACTATCATTACGTTTAAAGCTTAGTAAATTTCTTAGAGAAGATGTGCTATCATGGAATTTCGCGAATCTGGTAGCGAACAGTCGTTTGGGTTTTGTATACCCGTCACAGATGTTGTTTACGTACGATTTGCGAGGTTTCTTCCACCAGAGGAGCACGTTGTGCTTGGAGTAGTAGATGAGGAAGAGCACCAGTAGTATGGCGGGGATGATGCCCAGGAATATCACGTACATCGCCACCATGAAGTTGCGTTGGACTGTAAGAGAAATTATTGATGAGAATTGTTTGCGCAAAGGAATTTAGGTTAGGCGCAAGTATTGTTGATTAATTATTGACTAAATTCTATTCTCATGTTAGACGAATTTGCAGAAGCTTTCGAAATTAGCCTTATATAATAAAAAATCGAACAAAAAATGTCTTGCAGCATGATTATACAAAACAAAATTGTCTTTTGTCAGAAATCTATCAAGAAGATTCTTATAATACTTACTTGTAGGATCTGTAGCGGGGCCAGAATCCGAGGAGCCGCCGGGACCAGGCAGAGCACATAGTGGAGGGGCGAAGCCTGCCTCGCAGTGACAATGTCCTGCAAAAGAAGGACAATTAGTGAGAAAACACGACTAAAAATGTAGCAAATAAAAATAAATAGTTGTAACGGAACGGAACATTTGTAGTGTTTATTGTAATGTAAATACCAAATATTAACTTTCCATTTTATAATTATTTTTAAATAAGACTATTTAAACTACATTACAAACACGTTGTTTATTAAGTATTCGTTACTTTTTAGTAAACCATTGCACAGTAAGTAGGTATACTTTGCGCAAATTAGCGCAAATACCAAAAGAGTTTGCGCAAAATGTACAAATATTAGAAAACTTGTTATTTCGAGTTCTTACCTTCAGAATTACAGATGCCATGTCCTGAACAGTTGGACGGACAGACAGAAGACTCGGCAGTCGCTATGCGGTCTCTTACTGCCGCCACTGGCACGCAACGTTGCTTCAAACACATCTGTATAAAAATAATAGATTGTGTTAGCAATTAGTACGTTGAGTCATGTGGTATACATTTTTTTTATGGGATAAGCCGGTAAACGAGCAGACGGATCACCTGATGGTAAGCAATCGGCGTCGACCATGGACACCTGGAACACCAGAGGCGTTACAAGTGCGTTACCGGCCTTTTGGGGATTAGGAGTTTGAGGATCGTTGGGAATTCAGGAATTGGGGAGATTGGGGAAGGGGAGGGTAATTGGGGCTCCGGTAACCTCACTCACACGTCGAAACACAACGCAAGTGTTGCTTCACGTCGGTTTTCTGTGAGGCCGTGGTATCATTCCGGTCGAGCCGGCCCATTCGTGCCGAAGCATGGCTCTCCCACACTTAAATTTGCCACATAAAAGTCAACTAAGGGACTACATAAGTACATATTGAACAGGGACCAGGCGGTATCGTTTTAAAACTAACTGTAATCTCCTACCCCCTTGAAAGTATGAAGATTATTGCAAATCCCTCTTTTGTAGAGGAGATTTTAAGGCCAGTAGTGGTAAAGTCCAGTATTCTACGTAGAAAATGACGAAGTTACCTAAATTAGCAAGTTAACAATATAATCATACAAAAAAATAACATAGATTGTAAATTATAGTTAATATCTTACCATTTCATCGCCGCATTTGGCACCATCGGGCACCAAACCAGGATCAACATCGCTGAGACCCAAATCTATGATAGCTGTGCGACACGGGATGATTGTTCCTGCAAATACACCATAAAATTAATACGTTATCAACTAATCAATATGTTTTAAGATAAAATAATATTCTCCTACGCTAGTCCTAGCCCAATCATATCGAAGGGAGAGGTGTCTTCTTACGCAATAAGCAATAATCACTACAAATGGCGTTTGGCGGCAATTTCACCTGATGGTAAGCGATGATGCGGCCTACAATGTAGCATGTCTGCCCATAAGCTACCTATACATTTTTTTAAAAGGGGAATATCATTGAATAGCTTTTCCCGCCTGGTTGAGGCGGGAGGGAGTGTCAGACTCTTACTGACTAAAAACCACCCCGTTCCTTCTCCTGCACGTCGAGCCGGAGCTCCGGTAACCCGTTAGGTTCTCCAGGACAACCTATTACATATTACACGGGCTTTGAAGACATTCAGGTTATACCCTTCAGGAAGCATAGACCCTCTAACCTCTGGGCCAGGACCACTTCTATTTTGATCTTGATCTACCATACACTGTGTGAATCGTGGGCTTAATAATAAATCTGTGATAGCATAAATCATACCATTATTATTAATAAACACGGCGGACAATAATGCGACGGACTCCATTCCAAACTCGAGTCGTTCATTGAGATGTCTACACTGCAACGTTCCACACATGGCGTCGCGCGGACTGCATGGGAGGTAGCGTTGGTTTAATCGGTCGTAGCCGCAGTTACCGCTCCTGGAGAAGAAGGAATTTTAGTTACTTTTTTTCATGGGTTTTCAAATGAGCAAATGCATTATCTCATAGTAAGCAACCGGCACCGGCCAAGGACATCTGTAGTAACAGAGCAGTTACAAGCTTGAGCTTGCTTGCCTTTTGGGAGGAGGGAATTAAGCTTCTAGTATCTTCAAGTCAAAAAAAGTCAAAGCATTTATTTCAATTAAACCATAATTTGACGTCAATAAAACGTCAACAAATACAAAATAAATAATAGTCTGTCAGTCAGCAAGCATAACGCTTGGGTTGTTTCGCGACGTTTTTTGTCAGGCTGTAGTATCCAGTGGAGCTGGCCCATTCATAATGAAGATTGACTCACATTGTTTTAACTTTTGACCTAGTCAGAGTTTTATTTTCAGCATATTTTAACCTATAAAGCTGTGCACAAATCAAACTTGAAAGATATTTTTCGCTACTTATGATAGGCAGTGTTATAAAGGGTGGCGAATCTACTGCGTAAACAAAAACAACTCTAGATGTAAATGTAATACTAACTTGTTTCCTTTAACATTAGTGCTGGTATAGCATTTGTCGTGAGAACTTTCACCAGTAGTACCCCACAGTAGGCGACACTGATCAGTGTGGGAGCGACACGAACCACGAACACAGTAGGCTTTCTAGAAACACAGAAAATTACAATTATTAAAACTTTGGGGCAAAAAACGTTTGCGCAGTTAGCGCAAGTATCGCGCAACTGTTGCGCTAAAGTCAGATATATTATTTACTAGCTACTTTCGCGCGGTTTCACGTACTCTACTCAGCTCCTATTAGTCGTAGCATGGTGTTTTATAGCCCATAGCCATCCTCGATAAATGCGCTATCCAACACAAAAAGAATTATTCAAATCAGACTTGTAGTTACGGAGATTAGCGCGTTCAAACAAAAAAACAAACTCTTGTGCTTTATATAATAGTTTAAGAGTATAAGATTATTTATTTGTTTTCGGCTTATTTGCTATAGGATAGAATACTTTGCAACTAACTTAACTAGAGGACAGGCAATAGACGTGCATTTTATTGAATGCAAAAAGTGATCATTTTAGATTTTATATTTGTGTAAACACATGATACCATTACCAAAGAAGTCACAATTAACTTTTTGGTAAGTCTAAGAGACAAGTGTAAAACAAAATATTTGTGTATACCTCTCCATCCTTCCCGCAGGGCGTGGTGTCCATCTTGAATACATCGTCGGGGCAGTACTCTGAGTACCCAGTGCAATACTCGGGCAGGTCACACTCGCGGTCTGCTGACCTACATACTGTGCCTGCTGACTTTGGACGACAGGTCTGGGAAAAATATGTTTTTATTATTAGAAAAAGAAAACGTATTTGCTTAACATAATTTTTTGTTAAACATAGTACCATTTTAGACCTTTTTGACACTTTTGACTTTTTGAAACAATGAAGACTAGCAGATGAAGGCTGACTTCATCAACAAGTTGTAATTGGATTTAAATTTAATTTAATTTTAGTCATAAAGATTACTTTCGTACAGTTTTTCTTCAATAAAAGGTATTTGACAAGTTGAGCATTTAGATATCGCCTCAATTTATGCCATCTACCGGCTAAAATTAAGAATATCGAAACTTAGATCGATCGGGTGTTAATTAAACTACTACTACTAACTAAATTTAGTGGGTTAACACGGAAATCGATCATAAACCAAACATTTTGGATCTATTTAGTTTTTTTTATGAAATAATTCGGTAAGCATAGAGAGATTGGGAGTAATAGGGTAGTTTCCTAAATTGTATTTTAATGTCCGTCTGGTACATTAATTTAAAACTTCTTTTCTCACAAAATTAAATACTTTCGACGATATATTAATCCGAAATATCGTGTGACGTCACAGCGTGTCATATTTTGTAGCACGTTATGACGTAACGACCTTCCACTCCTAAACTTAGTGCCATTTTATGTAAGTATTGCAACTAAATACGAGAAAATAAAAAAATACGTGTCTAATTTTTTTCATTATCTAACGGAGGGACTAATTACATTTTTAATTTTGATACCCTGGAAACTACCCAATTGAGCTTCCATGCCAATCCAAAATGTTCTTGATTTCACGGTTAGCGATGACATTTAAAGAATTTTCGAAACTATACCTGCAAATCGCAGCACATCCCAGCCCCGCAGGTGGCGTTGGCCCGCAACATGCAAGTGCTGGGGTCGCAGCAGGCGTGGCACGGGTTGTACGCGCGCGGGTCGGACGTACTGCCGCAGTCGCACTGCTCGCCCGGCTCCGTGAAACCGTTGCCGCACGTCGGCGAGTCGAATAAACGTTTCGGTTTGTTTCTGTGACAATTTCAACCATCAATGTTATATACAGAAAGGAGAATAAAGTCAAACACAAACAACCTTCAATAGATTTTAGATCTTATTATAAGACTTCAAAGTTGGAAATCGTTTAATATTAGAGAATTTCTTAGTATGTGCTATTCGAATATTCACACTTGTTTTTGATATATATAACAATACAACTACTTTAAAATGGATAAAAGAACCTCAATAAACAATTACTAATCGAGGCAGAGTAGATAGTATTAAAAAACTAACAAGTGACGTGGTCGCATGCAATAGAAGGACATAATTAAAACTATTTTGATTGGACCCTAACTAAGATAACATTAAACTGTCAAACACCAAGCGGTCACCGGTGACCGCAACCTATTGTTCTATAATTGTGTCTATAACGACGGTACTCGACGAGTTAAGGTGAAAAAATACATACATAACTTCACGCCTGTCTCCCATGGGGTAAGGCAGAGACTATGCAACGCCAATCACTACTATTCCTACATACCTCTTTCGCATCATCAACAGTCATCAATCTTTTCAGGCATGCTCGTCGGTTAAGAGTACTTTTAATTTGGTCCTTCTTTAATGTAGTATAGAATGAGAAAAAAGATTCGTTGACCCTATAACTTAAACACAACTCCAAGTTAAAAAAAGTATTTTCAAAGCTCACCTCAAACAGTAATCCATGCCTCGTTCAAATGCCAAAGCTATAGAGCTCAAACTGCAAGACGACCAATGTATCGGCGTCACAGACGTACTGGAAGGACTCATTATACACTTGGCATCAGGACATTTACAAAGATCATCAGTATCATGTTCCATGCCAAAATTATGACCCATCTCATGAGCTATGGTGGTGGCTACCAGACCGATAACTTCTGAATGATTCGTCGACACTCCTCCAGAAAATTCGTACGTACATATCGGGCCTTTTAATGCTTTGCCGACTACACCGTCGTTGAATTTTTGGCGGCTGAAATAGATATGTGGAATTAATTTGTGTGTTTGAAATATATACGTAAGTGGGTGGTTAAGTGACGGACTGATGAATAGACAACATATTCAAAACTATTAAATCTTAAATAGAAAAGTATTTCGAAATCCCTTTTTCTTTATTTTTTCAAAATGTTGCCCCACACTATAATACATATCCAAATAAAATTCCTACAGTAATCTATTGTTATAGTAAAATCGAGAGAGATATAAGTAACAAATTATTATTGATTATATTGATATCTAGTAACCATAACGTATTGCAAAATTATATTAGGTATATGAAAATAAAAAAACACTTTTCCATTCATCCAAAAGGTTGCAAAGCTTAGATAGCAATGATTTATTTGCTTTATCCAGACTTATATGGGGGTTTTTATGGTATAAGCCGGTAAACGGGCAGATGGATCACCTGATGGTAAGCAATCGGCGTCGCCCATGGACGCCTGGAACACCAGAGGCGTTGCAATTGCGTTACCGGCCTTTTGGGATTAGGAATTTGAGGATTTTTGTGGACGCAGGGATTGGTGAAGGGTGAGGGGGGTTAATTGGGCTCCGGTAACCTCACTCACACGACGAAACATAACGCAAGCGTTGTTTCACGTCGGTCTTCTGTGAGTCCGTGGTATCACTCCGGTCGAGCCGGCCCATTTGTGCCGAAGCATGGCTCTCCCACACCTTCGAGGTTAGATATATTTTATTTAAATATTAAATACTTACGTCAACAATTGAGCATTATCATTAGGTATGTCTCTCACAAGCACGGACTTGCGATACCCAAGGAAGTTGTTAAGAGTCCTGTCTCCATTCTCTTCTAGATGTATCTCGTCAGTCTCAGTCCAGACCACTACTCCCACTAGTGCTATGAACACGTTCAATGGCGTGTATACCTGGAAATATGATGTTAAATGTTATTTTAGTTCGCAAAGAAAGGTAAACAAGCTTTATAATAAGCCAGGGTACAGTTTCATTTTCTATTACTGAGAACTTCAGAAAATTTAAACATTTTATAAAACGTTTGTCTGACCTGCCATTCTAATCAGTCGATCAACAAATAACAATATGTTTGGTCTTTTATATTGGAATATGTTCACTGCTGAATAACCTTCCTTATAAGATAGGTTTTGCCCACTGTTGGGTAGAAGGCTTGGGGTATCCCTTTTTGGCCACCTAATTAAAGGATGCTGCTCACTCGTTCCTCGGAGACTGTTCGCAGGTTTAGGACGCCGTATACTAGTTAGGCTTTGACTGCCAATAGAAAACTGTTGGTGCTAAATCGTATTTTTAAATGTTGGCTTTAAGTGTTATTATGTAGACTATTTAAGACATATTTTTTTTTAATGGGACAAGCCCGCCACAACCTCCCAAAACCGCTGCAACTCCTGTAAGCCAGGATCTACAGTAGATACAACCATGAAAACACCAGAACACTGAACTCCGGCGCGTCCCAGGGACATGAGTAACTGTCTTGGTTCCCGCGACGAAGTGAATCAGAAGATATTATAAGAGGAGAAGAAGAAAAAACTATGGTTTTCACTTCCCTCGGTGAATTACTGCAGGAGACAGAATGAATTAAGCCTAAAGGCACAAAGAAGAGTACAACACACAACGTACAACTGGGTATTTAAGACATATATCAAACTTACCGAGTTAATAATATTAGCCACATCCTTCATCTGTCGGTACACAGTCTGTATGTTCTCCCCGTTCGCCTTGTACTCCCTATTGTCAGCCACCAGCACCAGTTCCACGTATCGAGACAATTTGTTCGCGTTGTACGGCCCTCGGACTTGTGTGTCGTCTGATGCGTACCTTTTGTACTGGAAATAATAGAATTTTAATGATATAACTATCGTAAGACAGACTAAATGAATTAATTAACAATCTTGCATGTTTTATGTTTGACGAAGCAACTCGACTACTTACAAGAAACGCAGGGAGTCGTAGTCATGTTCTGCGAACTTGAGTTGTGCAAACAACTCGAAAAAGGATGGACTAGATTTTTTTTATTTCCTAGATTAAAGCCCGTATACTGAAAGGGTTCTCAATTTTTAGTTGTACTTGAATATCGATAATAAAAGGTATTGTTCATAAAAGCGAGTTTCGGAATAACCTTACAGTTCTTGTTAAATAAGTGTCTTTATCATGTTGATGAACTACAACTTAATTTATTAGAATTGTTGTTATGTTTTTTTTTGTATTTTAGGAATTGATGACTATATTTTATTATATTTTATGTATTATTGTAATAATGAAATTAAATTTGAATCTGATAAGTACAAAGAATGACATTTAACTTTAATAATTGTTATGGCTAATTATTGCAAGTATATTTTTTAGAATATAGGTTTTTAGAATTGACATATTCAAACACAATGTAATAATTGTTAATGAATTGAAATAAAAATTTAATTGAATTTTACAAAGAATTTGTGTTGACAGAACTATACTTAAGCGTGACTTAAAATTGAGTAGCGTTTGAGTATTTAATCATTAGAGCCTCTCTTATAACATCTAATAGTTTCCAGTGGACTGACCGATATTTTGTCACAGTCACACACTACGAAAAATACGGCATATCTGTCAGTCAGTTATACTAATAGAAACTTAATCAGGCATTATGGAACACACTCTTAATCATGTAAATAATGCAATAATCCCTGGCGGTGCATCAAAACTGAGATTTCTTTCCTTGGTTACATTTTAAGGAACCATAAAACTATTAAACCTTAAACAAGCACTCAGTAATAAACCCTATTCTACATAATAATAAAATCTATTGTCGTACTTGTGACCTCCTCACAGGTCATCTTGGCTATGGTACCTTGTGACATTCATCATCTAATTACTTCATTAAGAGGTCCAATTGAACGTCAAATTAGTGACAAAGGTCCAAAGAACAATGTAAGACGACTGTTAATTGGTAATAGGAAGTTCGAAAGGACTTGTGCACACATTATAGCAGTACTGAAGTTCTCTGGTACTCTAGAGAACAATTATCTGAAAGATGTACTGTTCTTTGTAGATCAAATTGAAATACCTATTAATCTTTTGAATATAATTTTAAAGTATTTTTCAAACCATTCAAGAATTAAATTATGCTTATTGTTTTCCGAAGGATTAAGCAGTGCTATAGTGAAAGTACACCCAGTGAAAAGGTTGCGAATCACTTGGATATCTATATCAATTTGTTTATAAAACTTAATAATATTTTACTCAACTCAACCATCACAGTTCAGATCTTTCGAACGTGTACACAACAAGGGACAAGTATCGGTAGAAATATCGGATAGAACATTAAAACATTATGAAGTTCTACTTACTCGACTAACCCTGCTTCTCTGCCGATCCTGTTCACTGGTATACTTCTTGAATAGATGTGGATCGTAACTTGCGTTCTGTGTGACGCCGCCGACGTAGCCACAATGGTAGTTGGTGTTTAAGTCCCCATGGTCGTAGATGTAGTGGTTTGATTGTATGCTTGGTCCTGGGGGATAGTAAATATGTCGTATCTAATGAAAAACGTCATGGATTTCATTACTTAAAAGGGTATACAGAGTCACATCCTCTAGGAGGAATCGTAAAAAGTAAAACACGTTTTTCTCAATCATGTTATGAGTTTAGTAATAGAGAATGACTGGAATGACCTCATCACCTCATACCAAGCGCTGTTCCAGACTGAGTGCTCCAAAAACGAAAACAGCTTGACACGGGAATCCAAACTATAGCCATTTCACAGAAGTCGTCCTTACGATCACTCTACAAATGCAACAGTGCTTTGTGCTCCACGAAATAGACCTGAGAAATTAAAAGATTAGGATATCTCACCATAACTTCAAGGTTACATACCTTCAGCTGGCTCAATATATCTCATTCGTTCTCCATCGAACACGATGCCTCGGACGCCATGACAGGTGGACACCGCCACCCATGAGCCAGGCTTGCCTCGTACCGTGCCCGAGTACTGACATAAGTCTATATCCTGAAAATATTACAAAAAAAAATATTAGCGCGTATGCATGAAGTTATCAGAGGACCGCAGGACCACCAGGGGTTCTGAGGGGAGTGAATAGGTTTCTTAAGTGTCGGTAAGACGCATGTGATGCCCCAAGTGTTGCAAGCATACACAGACCACGGTAACCGCTTACCATCAGGTGGGCCGTGTGCATTTTTGCCACCGTAGTGATATAAAAAAATCCTCACAAGGCTGGCAAAGCACTCGTCTTTTTTTATAGAACTGTCCATTTTATCCTATTGTGATGTTGTGTGTTGTGTCCTAAGTCCGGTCGGTCGGTAGATAAGTGTTGAAGACAAACAACAAACCCTTAGCTAAGTATGCACATAGGTATACCGTGCATAAGACATTTGTAGGATTAATTCCGATATAATCTAATATGGCAGTAATAGGAACTGAAAGTTCATGAATCCGGAAGCCGGAAACTAGGCTAACAAAGTAATCCAGTTAAACTTAATAAAATAAATAATTTGGAACACCATTAAATTAATATAACCATCCAAGCATGGCCGCAAATTAATGATGTAACTTCACAGGTGACGGATTCTTGCGACAACCATGGAAAATGTATCATTTTCAAAGTGACTTCATAAACATAGCAGAAATCGGAGCATCTTCAATCAAAATTATTTGATTTAACTTTTTCAAACCTAGTTCAAGGACATAGTTACAAAATTGTCCTGAGTTCCATGTGAGCTTATTGCCATCTACCAGAATTTCAGGATCCATGATATTCTTGAGAAATATTCAATAACCAAAATTCCTAATAAGATAACTTCATATTTTTGTAGTGAAAAGACCATAATTCTGCTTACCTCTTTCTTAGGTTTATGTACAACAGTCTTGCCGTTCTTCTGGTACCTAAGTACATGGTTATCTGTGACTAGATCCAGGTTCAATCTCAGATCCAACACGTAGTCCTGACCGTCTATGGGAACCGTCACTGTCACTTCTGAATGATGTGCACCGCTCTGGAGAATGAACATGTGATTAAATAATTTAAAAAAAATAATTAAAGACGTCTTCAACAGTGGGGATCTGGTACCTTCGGATGCTACACCAAATGAGGCATCTCCTAAGAAAATAAATAACTAATTAAATTAACATTATATTTTAAAGTTTCGTACAAGCATCAATAAATATGGTACGTAAGTAGAACTTGCATGTATATGATTTAAAAACTACTAAAAGCCAAGTGTACCTTACTTATGTATACGCTGCGTGCTCTATCGTAACCTCAATGGTAGGTAATCCCATAGCCCAAAAGCTACTAGGTTCATTTTAAAAAGCATGCAATTCCGCGGATCATTTCCTTTAGATAGTTTCTCCGCAAACCATCAAACAATCATGAAAGAATTAGTCACCACAAAATAATCGGCTACAACCGAGTAATTTAAGAGACCGTTAGGAAATGGCCATTTGCCGTTGTACGGAGGTCGCTGGCAGAGAGCTTCCGTTCCGAATGGTACACCACAGTTCTATAATCTTTTTTAACGCCATTTTACACGTACAAGCAAAGGTGATGTGACAGCCTTCCATTGAAGGTAACGTTTTTAACATTGAGGTTTCAGCTGACATACATAATATGTATGGGACTATGTATAATAATATGGAGTTATGAAAGACAGTTTACACTTGTCTGTTAAGAAATAAGTAAGTAAAAATGCTGATAAAGAAGACATAGACTATCAAGCTCGTATTAAATATAAGTAATCTGATATTTGTAGCTCCGTACATGACGTTTTGACTAAAAACCAAACCGGGGTGAACGATAACCTCTTTGGACACAGGAGTCATATGTGCCAGGAGTTAATCAGTTCCTTGGAATTCCAGAGAATCTCAGAAAATTAAAGTCCGGTAAGAGATTATAAAGGTGTAGGTGTATGTTTTCTTACCGTGTCTCTCGTTGTAGATATTTCTCTTCTCGTTCTAGCATGATGTAGAATAGGTTGAACTAGTCTGTGCTTATTGAAGTCTAATGCAGGCGGTTCTGAAACAAGAAGAATACAATTATAAATACACATTCCATATTATCTTTTTGGCATTTTCTCAATCTCCGGTAGCATCGAGTGTAAAGTTTGAGGAACTTCTGTCAATTCGACGCCTATAACACAGAAGAAAATCCTAGTATGGAGTAACATTTACAGAAAGTGTTTATTAAAATACTGAACTCAATCTTCAGACAGCGTCATATCACTGAGAATAATAATTCTGAAATTAAAAGCCCCAATGACACGTACTTCATAATTGGCACTATTAGCAGTTGAAATTTGCGACATCCCCACCAAGGCAGCCAGGCAGGCATCACATACTTAATTAACCATTTAATTATACGTACTTCCCGGACAAACTTCTAAGATTAAAGATAGGAATAATAAGACACAGGAAACACATTCACTTTGCCAATAAATGATTCACTAGAAGAATTTTAATTTGCATATGCCATTGTGCCGTTACCGCAAAACTTCTTTGTTTTAAAACCGTGAAGGAATGATTGATACGTTGATGTGCAGTTTTTATTTCTAATTTATGATGTTAAGTTGTAAAAAAAAGATTTATCTTGTCCGAAGTATCTTTATTTGAGTGGTCGTAATGTTCTTGATGTTCTTTATAAATCGTAAATCATTTTTGTATAGAATAATGTTGCTCAGTTCAAAATTGAGGAACTGTTGGATAATTAGTCTTTTAAATATTCCGAAGAAGCAGTGAAAGACAAATGCCCTAAAAGGTGAGTCAGCTTATTAAATATGTATCAAAACAAACTGTTGATCAATTCAAGTAGATAAATAAGCTGTAATTTGAGTAAATATTTACATTTTCTTCGATATTGACGAATGCAAAAGGATTTGTTTATTAGAATCCAATAAATATAGACGACAACAATATTTATTAAAATAGAGCTGATGTTTTGAAAGCCAAAATTGCTAATTCCGTTTATTTGCTAGAAAAATGAATGTACGTGCACATTCCGGAGTATTGATTCATAAAATAACACACAACAGAACGTGTTTTAAAACGATTACTAAATAATCTGTGAAAATCGGATAAAATGCTCTGCGTTTAAATGCTTTCCACCAAAACGTTTGGGTTAAATAGGCGATATTGCACAACATTGAATTTCTTTCTAAACCTTGGGCGAACCGATTATTAATTTAAAACCGTAAATCACGTATGTAAGCAACATTAAAATGGAAGCCATCAAAACATATTCAGGTACTAAAACCGATTACCGTAACACATAGGACGAAAATTCAGTCAAACGCCTCATTAAAACCAATCGGCGTTCTATTAAAAGAACGCGACAGGTTTCCTCATCAAGCGTACAATGATGCGCCAGCGCATGCCGCATTGACCAATCATGCGACAAGACAAAATTGTAGCTAAGTCCAACGACCGGCGTTATAATATCGTCAGCCGCGGATGAATGAACACGTGTTGACAATGCTAATTTATTCGCAAAAAAATTGCAATTAGTAAAATTAATTGCTCTGTCATTGTAATTTTTTTCGGGAGTACTTACACATAATGCAAATAGCTTTGTTTTTTATATGTCTGTCTGTCTGACTTTTTTGATATGTTCTACTAATGATACCGTTCGGTTTTTTTTACTGTACTCCACTCTCACTTTTGATAATGATGTATCATACCTATAGACTTTTTTTAGCTCGTGGATCTGGACAGATCAGACGATATATTTTTGGATCTTGATTCATGTGGTTGATGGAATTAGGACGCGAATAAATGACACATACATAAACAACTTTAAAATATTAGTGGATGACCAGTAAAAACGCGATAAAGTTTGTTCAGAAGTTTAAGAAACTCCGTATTCAATCACTATCCTGAAAAGCATTAAGATATAATTTGACTCATAATTTCCAAAATTTTAATATATGTGAGTCCAAAAGCCAAATGTTATCCATATGTTCTTCCTCAAAACAACTACGTAAGTACATATTCGCAAACTGCCTAAACGGTAACCAAATCGTCGCACACGCACCTCGCCTGCCATTGTACAAAGACGCATTGTTATCCACTAAAATGGTGTCAGTAGTACTCTTGAACACTCCTTTATGCTTTGTGCTTGTATTTTATACTGTCTTTAACGTTTTTGTACAATTTCCATCAAGTAACAGTTTTTAAAGTTGTTTTTTTATTTTTATTTACATTGTTTGCTAAGTAGGTTCTCACTCCGGTTTTCAAGTTTCGTGGAATTTAATAAATTCATTTTACATTTAACAATGGCTAAAACTGGGGACATACAAAAATAAACCATAGGGATATTTTTCAACGAATTGAAACCTGATTAAAACTAAATAAGGGATCAGGGGTCAGTATTGAATTTCAATCAGGACGCGCTGTTTGTCAGTGTTTCACTTAAATCGTGAAGCTACGCGATGATGTGACCACCCATCAAACAAAGATAAGGTAATTTAACTAAAATGATTTGCTCCAGTCAAAACATATCAACATATATTGAATGAAACTGCATTCCTAAAACTAATCAACAATTAAACCAAATTATTAAACAGTAGCTTTTACCCGCGGCTTCGCTCGCGTCACAAAAGAATAAAAAGTAGCCTATGTGACATATACCAATACACACAGCGCCATCTATACCAATACTTTTTCTTTCCCTCGGGAATATCAAATCTTTCCGGGATAAAAACCTATTATAGTACCCTATTATTTAATTTGGGCTAACTTTACGTCTGCAAAAATTCAAAGCAATCGGTTTAGTAGTTATGGCGTGAAAGCGGAACAAACAAACAAACAAACTCACTTTCCGTAATATTAGTAAGGATACTTGCAGAATAATTTACAATTCCAATTTCGTTCATCAACACTACAATTGGAGCGGACGTTGCTGTCCAAATAAAATAAAATCGACTGGCTCTCGCATTAATTAAATTATTTAGGAATGAGCCACGAGATGCGAATAACTACCGCTTGTTTGCTTGTATGGTAACCTTAAATTCTTAAAACAATTGAGCCTTGAGATCTTAATTACGATACAGATGGACCAGACGTTGGTGTCTGCACAAATAATATTGAGAGAACTTGAGACAATTGTATTTGTTATAATAAATTCGTAAAAGCATACGTCAATACACGGCTTTGTTCCTTATAAGAAAATACTACAGTGAAACTTGGTTAAGTGGGACCTGGATAAGTGAGAAACCTCCATAGCTGGAACTCATGCTGAGGTCCCAATACTTTGGCTCTGAATTACCTCTGTTAGTGAAACGAGGTAAACCCCTATATCTGAGAACGAGGTAACCCTCTGTAAATGATACAGATATTTATTTATACCTGTATATCTGAGACACATGGTAAGTGGAATACCTCTATAAGTGAAACGACATTGCAGGTCCCTTGATGTCTCACTTAACCAGGTTTCACTGTATATCCATAGTCAAAGTCAAAGTAAAAATCATTTATTTCAATTAGACCAGGAAGGCACTTTTGAATGTCAACAACAAAAGTTTAGAAATGAAGTTAGTTGCTATTCTATTCCATATATCATAATCATAATATCAGTCATAAGACATTCACTTCTAAACATTTATCTCCCTCAATGAAAATTAACTGTAAAGTGATGGACTGAAACACAGGTTTAAATTAACCTAGATCGGGCGGTCCACTGTCAAATAATGGAATTTTTCGAATCACTGTCAATATACCTTTATTGATATTTTAATTTTAGTACTTCTATTCTTAAGCACTGTATTGTATCTTTATTGTAATAGGAAACCCTGTTACTGTTGGTTTAGTGTTCATTTTAATAAATTATCCTACTCTAATGTCTTCCACTCCAGATGATCCTTGCATACTTACACACAGAATTTAAGATTCGTATCAAAGAGGTACAAGTAGGATAATCTTTGCTGTTCACAAGGAGGAAAGCAAGATGCTTCTAAGTAAAAAAAAATTACAAGAACATTGTCTAATTAAAAGGACTATGAACTACGAGTGATATCTCGTTGTGAGATCAAATTAATGTCCATGACTGAAAATTATGATCATCATTTTCTATCAAGCAGTTTATTAGGTTCCTAGATTCCATTTCCTAACTTCCTTACCAGCCAACTTCGACAAAACTATGTATCACCAAGAATTCTCGGTACAAAATTTAACACGACTAAATATTTGAAAGGACATTATAGTCACATTCAATTAAGACCTCGTCGTCAATGTCCTAAATGGGCAAATAACTAAATATTGTGAATACCACACGCATCGCACTCCCGCCAGTTTTGGGCTGGCCCAGTTAAACCGGACTATTTTTAGCCTTTCACAAAACACTTTGAAGTGCGAACATTACTTCCTAGGCTAGGCTAAAATTATTATGAATATTTAAGAGCAGAATTTGTTGAGTAATTTGACCATGTTATGGTGTGATTAAATATCCTAGCCGAGTTGTTACAAGAGCGACTGTAAAGCAGGAGATCTCGGATTCAATCTTCGGAAATGCTGTTATTGTTATTTATCTAATTCTTTGTTTTTTCAAAAATGTTGCCCCACATTAGGATTTTCTCCTGTGTCGTGGGTGCGTTTACAAACATACAAGTTCTACACATGGCACCCAGACCCGGAACAACAATATGTGGAGTACACAAAGAGTTGTTCCGTGCGGGAATCAAACCTGCTACATGTTGCACGGCAGCTCATTGCCAAGCCACAGCGCCAACCGTGCAGTTAATACATATCCGTAGTCTTTTCGTCGTCTGTTTTGCAAAGAGCTCATTTTTCATCTATAGGATTTTTTTTACAAGCCCGCCACAGCCTCCCAAACCGCTGCAACTCCTGTAAGCCAGGATCTACAGTAGATACAACCATGAAAACACCGGAACACTGAAGTCCGGCGCGTCTCAGGGACATGAAAAACTGTCTTGGTTCCCGCAACGAAGTGAATCAGAAGATATTATAAGAGGAGAAGATAGGAAGGTGAAAATAATCATCTATAGGTATTGATGAAAAGTCCTAGTT